GAAAGAAACTATGGAAAAGGGGGGTCTAGAAGTATACGGAATGTTCAAGGAGTACGTACAGTATGGACCAATGGGTGCAAGGAAGAAGCTGGAGGTCAAATTTAGGACTGGAGACATTTACAAGTGGGCTGAAGATGCCGGAAATGATGCCGATAGGATACGTAGGATAGGGAATATGTTTTTAGCCACCTTTTGGCAAAGTAGGAAGGAACGATTGACCATCGATGATCGGTCCTGTGGCAACAATGCTCCGTCTCCTAACCTCTAACAACTGAGGCATTCAAAACATGTGTACGCCCCCCCCCCACCTTTCCCCGCGCGCGAAATACATGTGTTCATCCCTTGCTATTGTCAGCTTCAATTTCTTTTTGACAAAAGTTTGTTGTCGTGCTTGTCTCCGCCCTTGTGTACTAAATGCCACCTTTTCGCTGTTCTTCATGACCTATGCATCATTGATTCTGTTCTTGGGCGTCGGGCGTGGTGGGTGGAGGTGAGGGAGAAGATGGTCCTCGAAACCAAGCAGCCGATACTAGACCAGATGAAGAAAGCTAAGGAGGCGAAACCGCCGACCAGCCCCCTGATCTTACAGCTGCTGATCCCTAAAGGGATGGCACAGGTGAGTCTGACGATAGAGTTGTTTTCTCACGTAGCACTACTTCAATCCTCATTAAACCCAGAGATGCACGGCCCGTTCCGTCGTGACAAAACCCATCTCAGCCTGCTCCGGCCGTGGGGTATGTCCTCAGCCAAGGTAGGTGTGCCGCAGATTACGTCCAAGATTTTTTGCGCGCCTCTGTTCCGTCTTCGGCCATACGTTTGAAATCGCAGAGCACCTTTCAGCTGCCTGTGGTGGACGCTGGAACCCGCGAGTTCTTGCCGCTGGACGAGGAGGTCAACAGACGGCTGTTGAAGCAAATCGACTGGTCGCCGCCCGGCTCTGAGCCTCTAACAAGGTGCGGGTGTTTTTCCGTGCCCTTGTTCGGCTTGACTCGGTGCTCACGAGTTGTGGCGCTCGCAAGAGAGGAACACCGCTTTGTTTTGTCCCAACCGTAGCCCCTCGCTCCGGGCCGACCCACGCGCGTACAGAGGGCTCCGCCCTTTGAAGACAAGGCTGTTCGCGATGAGGGCAAAGGGAGATGGGAACTGTCTGCCTCACGCTGTTTCACTGTCGCTGTGGGGCCATGGAGACAACACGCTGGTGAGCGGTGTGTTCATCGAGATGTGCGGAGAGGGAATGGAGAACTGATCATCCGTTGTTTGTCTCAGTTGGGAGACCGTTTGACTACGCCCACCTACCGAGAGACAACAGGTGTTGGCACCTTTCCCCATTCTACTCTACAAGCCTACTTTCGCTTGTCACGTCACGCCATGGCTTCCTGTGCATGGCTTCCTGTGCCAGGAAGCTTGTTGCGGGCCCGCGTCTGTGTGGCTTTGCGTGCTATGTAGGAGGCCTACACCTCGTCAATCTCTCCTGAATTCCCTCCGTCCGCTGTACCAGGTACTACGGTCGTTGTTGAAGGAAGTCTTCCAGGACAGGCCCAGCGAGGCTATCTTGTTTTCCGTTTGGTGCAAGGAGCAAAAGCGGGTAAACGAGGCGGCCGGAGGAAGCGCCTCCATCAAAATGACAGCCGGCGAGGTCAGCGGTTACATTTTCTGGAGAAATGCCAATCTATCACATTGGGGGGTGTTACCATTGTGAGGGGGTGGCGTGTCAGCCAGTAGACAGAAACCCTCCACATTGAACTTGGTAGTGATACAAACCAAGCTGTCTCCCTTACGCTAACCGGACACGTTACCGCTACCCTTTCCTCGAGCAGTTGCAGGCGGAATGGCGCATGCTCATGGAGGCAGTCAAGACGCCGTCAGCCCACCTCTCCTCTTTCCACGTCTTCGTGTTCGCCCACGTCCTACGACGCCCGATAGTGGTCTACGGGGAAACATATGTTTACGGTGCCAACAACAGCGAGGCGTTTGTTCCGTCTGACATGCCCGGGTAAGTGAGAGATAGTTAACATTCTCGCCATTTGGTTCGAGCAGGGAGGGGGAGGCGAGGGGGGTGAGAGGTGAAAGAAGACGACACCCCTTGCCGCGTGGCCGGGTGGAGGAAATAACAACACCGCGCCTGCCCAGGAGGAGGAACTGCGGACCTCGCGCCTCTTTACAAGAAGTCTCGGCACGTCAGTGTTCCGTGCCGAGAAACAGGCGCGAGGTCCGCGGTTCCTTGCCGGCACGAAAACCGAAGAAAATTGCAACCGAGACCAAAAGGTGCAGAACCAGGTTGAATGTCATGAACTACCTCTTGAAGGTATCAATAGATGTACATTCGCCCCCCTCCTTCAAACAACGCTTTTGAGCATCAAGTTTCCTGCCCCCGACCCCCACATCAAAACTGGCAGGATCTACCTCCCGACTTTGCAGCACCAAGACAAGTGCTACAAGTCAGCGATTGCGGTGGCTTACACCTGCCCCGTTGTCGGTAGGGCTGGCCACTTTTCTCCTCTCGTCGGGATG